TTATTCTAAATATTTACAAGTATCTGTATTTTTAATAAAAGTTACCTGAAATTCAGGAGTATACCAATATTGACACAACCAGTCCCAATCATCTTGCTTTATGTCAGTTGGACAGTTCTTCATTGCATCATCTAATATTTTTCCATTGAAATATTTCTCTTTAAGTCTACATCTATAATCAGGATATGTTCTCGCTAAAGTATCGTTCACAGATTTATGGACATGCTGAACTGTTAAATCAAGCTTGAATTTTGCCTACCAAAAAAGAAATGTGTATAATATTTATTTAAATATGGGAAACTAATAACTATTCTACAAAATTTTGTAAAAATGAATTTGTCTATGACTTACCAAAATTCGATCATATAATTTATGTTTCTCTTCATTGGGTATGTCGATCCACCTCCTATAACAAAGTGGAGCAAATTATCGAATGACGTAGCCACACCCACTAGCAAAATGTGCTTGCTGATTTCCAATAGCTCTTCTCAGCTTTTTAGAAATCTCCAATAATATTTTTCCAGCTACATTGATGATATCATCAATGCCCTCGACTCTTGTAGGACCACGTCCCTTCCTCTTCAAAGAATGAGAATCTATGAAATACATTACTCAAATGATAAGAATATATAAAACAAAAAAAACGAGATTCTATCAATTAAATATATACATTAGGATGATTTTATATCATAAACATAAAGATAAATTATTACTGTTGGAATTGAGGATGTTCTCATGTGTCAATGTAGTTGCTTGTGATGAATTAAGTTGAGGCTGGGTCTGAGAAAATGAGACAGAAACTCGAAGAGGTTGAGATAATGGAGTAGGAACTTGAACATTACTAGTCTTAGACAATGAGGATGAGATATTAGTTTGAAGAGTAGTCTGGGTTAATGGACCCTTGCATGATTCCTTTGACGAGAAAACCTCCGATGGTGGCTCAGAGGATGTAGTAAAAACTCTATTTTTCTTGCCAATTCTTGTTCGAGAAGCCATTATCTACCAAGAAAAAAAAACCAAAAAGAGAGAGAGAAAGATCATTTTTAACCAAAAAAATGTGTCTCCATTATTGCCGATTCTTTTTCGAAAAGCCAGTATCAACCAAGAGACAAAATTGATAATAAAACTTTGAAGACAATTAAATTTAGCTATTTTTAGGAGGGAAAAAAAAAAAGAACTGCTATTTGACCTTTTACAGAACATGATAGCAAACAGATTGTTACTTTTTTGGGTATTTGGAGAATAAAATGTTCTCTCTACGAGGATTGGCGAGACATTATTTCCCCCTCTATTAAAATTCATCAGACCAAACAAGTAGATCTGAATCCGTTTGGCACAACTATTTATTTCACTAAATATTAATAAGTTTTGCTCTTAATCTGAATTAGGTTATTGCAGTCTGAGTTATGTTATCACTTAGGTCATTGAGCTATTGAAATGTGAATTAAATTCCATTTAGATCCAAGTTCCCTAACTTCGAATTCTGTCATCATTAAGAAGTAGTGGTGGGCAATACGGGAATTAAGCAGAATGAATTGTATAGGCTTCGCAATATAAACAGGTGAGGGTACGTAGTTCCATTTTACTTAGGCAGAAATTATGGTGAAAATGGGTAGTTCCATTTTATTTAGGCAGAAACTATGTAATTTCCTTCCAATTCTTGTAATTTTAGAGGTACATTAGAGGAGATTTTTTTATTTATGAAAAGGAAAGGAGCAATTGTCGAGAAGGATCCATGGTTTTAGGCAAACATCATTCACTTCCTCGTTCCAGTTGGAAATGGTCGGGTCAATCCAT